AGGATGGGTTTGTAACTTAGAGATTGTTGTCTGGAAAGACCTCTTTGAGGTGACATTGGAGCTAAAATCTGGAAAAGGAGCCAGGAAAGTAAAGGCCAGGGAGATGCCCCAAGTGGAGGGAACAGCCTTCCTGCAGGGGAAACGAGCTTGCTATTGGAGGTATTGCCAAGTCAGAGAGGCTGGCAACACAGACAGAACAAAATGCTGGGCCAAAGGCTTCCTGTCACACATACAGTACAACCGAACTCCTCCCACCAGGTCCCCTTGGCCCTCTCTAACCTCATTTCCTCTGCTCTTCATTGCCTTCCCTCCACGTGAGACACCTTGTCCTCTTCATGGTCCTTAAACCCATCAGGCACCTGCCTGGCTCAGGGCTTTTGTGAGCTTGTGGTGAGAACCAGGGTATTTACATTCTCCAAATGTTTCTGTACAATATACTAACTACAAAGAGGATGTTGTAACGAGACACCTGACCAACGCCACCTTAACCAGGGGAGCAGTCACCCCGCTCATGGGCTGTTTGGAATCCTCCGGTAAGTTGCACTGAGAAGGGCACATCATTTCTGGGAATTCCTGCCAAAATAGCTTGAACATAGCCACAAGGAAGCATCAGTAGTAACCCCTCACTGAGGGGCAATCTGCAAAATAACTGCCCGTTAGCTTCAACCCTGACAACTGGGTTCAACAGCAAGCCTGAGTCACTTGCCAGGAGATTGTCCCTTTTTGGTACACAAGGACATGAGTGTGGCCATTACAGAGTCTGATGAAGGTCTGAGAACACTGTTTCACTGTCAACTTCCGGACCTTGATCACTGGATAATGTTCTCATTATGGGACAGATACGTAAATGTGGAGTGAGGAGGGAACAGAGTAAATGTAAAACGCTGTGGGGAACCTATGGTTCATTATGTGTCAGCTTTCCAAGAACTACTTATACTTTTTAAAATAAAAATAGATTTATGAAAAGTTGCAGACATAGTAGAGTTCCCAAGTACCCGACACCAAATTTCCACTATTAACATCTTGTACATCACTAGAGGCTCAGTGCACAAAATTCGGCACTTGGAGTGTCCCTCAGCCTGGCCTGTTCCCTCTTGCAGTCTGGGAGCCCTCGGGGTGTCCCTCAGCCCAGCCTGTTCCCTCTTGCAGTCTGGGAGTCCTCGGGGTGTCCCTCAGCCCGGCCTGTTCCCTCTTGGTCTGGGAGCCCTCGGGGATGTGTTCGGTTGGACATCATTAGCACTGGTGCAGAGGCAGGAGAGGCTCCCACCACCGCTGCTGCACTCACCAGCCGTGAGCCTGGCTTCTGGCTGAGTGGTGCTTCCTAGGGGAGTACACTGACCACCAGGAAGCAGCTGCTGCATTGAGTGTCTGCCCCCTGGTGGTCAGTGCGTGTCATCGCAACGGGTCATTCTGCCATTTGGTCAATTTGCATATTAGCCTTTTATTATATAAAAGGATTAGTCACAATTTAATGAACCATAGAAATGTTATTCAAGTCCATGCCTTAGACTTCCTATCTACCTACTGTCCTTTCTCTGTTCCAGCACCCCATTCAGGATACATTTCACGGAGTCTCCTTGTCTCCTAAAGCTTTTCCTGCCTATTTCTCAGGCTTTTCTTGTTTTGACTCACCTTGACAGTTTGAGAACTAGTGGCAGGTCTTTTGTAGAACATTCCTCAGTTGGGATTTGCCTGGAGTCTGTTTTCTTGTAGACTGGGGAATCTGCTCTACAGGAAGGCCACAGAGACAGGACACCTGCTCACTGCATGTATCAGACACGCTGCCAACGTGACTGGCACTGCTGCTGACTGATCACCGGCTGATGTGGTCTTTGTCAGGCGTTGCCCCTCCTCTGCTGTGCTCTTTGGAAGAAGTCTAAGGAGGGGGCAGGCTCCCCTGAAGGCAGAGTATCTATGGAAAGCATGGGACTTTTGCACAGATCTGTCTGTTCTCACCATTGTGGGTATAACCTACACTACACTATTTTGGTGCTCGAATTGCGTTCAGCTTTGGCCACTAGCAGCTCTTCTCGTTGCTCCGTGTCCCTCTACATGCCATTAGTGAGGTTTTCTTTTCTTTCAGGTCCTTAATTCTGGACATGACTGGATGCTCCAGGTTCATCCTGTGTATTTCCTGCTCTAACCCTACAGTCATTTCAGCACTATTTTTAAAAGTTTTAAGATTTTCTACCAGTCTGAAATTATTTCTAACCAACATTAGAAATACGTGAATCACACCTTTTTGGAAAGCTGCCACATTAAAATGCAGCACCCCTGGAATGTAGGCCACAGAAATAAAAGCACAAGCACAGTAAAAGTGGATTGTTATGGTTTACTTCAGTACTGTGGTGGCAGCAAAAAGCAAACAAAAAACCTGCAAACAAGCAAATTCTTGTCGACAGGGCGCACTCAGCGGCAGTGTCCCCCTGAAGGACCCTGGGCAGCCCTGGAAAGCATCACAGCCACGCCCACAGCAGCTCCTCCAAATGGGCGAAGAGCCTCATCGTTATGGCGACCCCACGTCTTCCGAGTGAGCACGCAGTGGTGGGAGGGTGGGTTCCACGAGGCAGGATTGCCTGGGAGGAGAGCTGTTCAGAGGAGCCAGCCTTTCGCGATGCCACGCCCACCTGTGCAGAAAGCGACTGAGAACCTTCAGGGCCCAGGTCTGTGATCGGGTGATTTTTACTTCCTTCTGCACTTTTGTTGCATTATTCTTCTCTCACACACACACACACACACAAAACTTTGATATTTTCTACATGCACATGACAAAAAACAGATGACTCAAAATTTAATTTTTCTAATTGGTAAAATTTTATTCAATCTTTTCACCGAAAACTCCCAGTCCGGGAGAAGTCCTACAGGAATAAGAAGCACCACTGCATCTAAGGACATTAAGTTCAATGGAGGAAGCAGCTGGTTAACCTACAGGAACCCGCCCAGGACTGCGACAGGTCCCAGGGACAGACACACGGACAGGTCCCAGGGACAGACACACGGAGCGCCGTGAGGTTCTCTAGCACCGGCCCCTCGGCCCCTCAGACTACGAGGACGAGAGTGGCGAGGAAAGGCTTTTCTTCATAGCCTGTATATCTGACTGTCACCAGGCACACTATTATAATTTAAAAACGACCATATGAAATTAGGAAAAAAGCCAAAAAATTCCTCAGGTCTCGGCCGCAGGAAAGAGACTTCCTGGACTCAACTTTCCTGCCTCCCTCGCTTAAGATCTCAAACCCTCCGTGTGGGAAGCCCTAACAGCTTCTGGCAAACCGGCCTGAAGCTCACTGTGCGTAGCACGGCAGCCTGGAAGAGGGACTCGGGCACGGAACCAGCTGTCAGAGGACTCCAGAACAAAGGGGGGAGGAGGGGCTGTGACCCAACCTGAGGTGCCCCCAGCCCCCACAAATCCGCAGTATACCAAGGAGTCTGCAGGGGAACTGGAGGGTGCAGATGCGCAGGCAACGCCTGCTCTAGGGCTCAAACACCTCGGGAGGTGAACATGCTCCCTCAGTCCGGCCAGGACCCCTCACCTAGCCTGTTGTTCAGAGCCACCTGGCCCTCTCGCCTGGCCCTCCACCCCATCTTTCTGCCTAAGCAGTTTCTGAGCACCTGGGTGATCTCTGTCCACCACACCCACCACAGCCCAGAGTTTCCCGAACTCCTCAACAGCTCCCACTCCCAGGAGCCGCCTCCCTCTCCAGCCTGAGCTTGACACCACCTCCCCCGGACGCCTTCTCTGCCTCCACAACTTAAAGGGCCCAACAGCAATGGGAGCGGAGGCAGCGGGCAGTTGGGGCCACTCCATGAGCAAGGAAGGCCCAGGTGGTGGGCCCGGTCTGAAATGAGTCTTTATTGCTTGTACCGTACAAATATGAGGAACAGGGAAAGGCCAGTGGGGAAGACGGAGAACTGTCAGATAAATGACAAACACACACAAAGAGGAGACCTCCCACCCCCCAGACCAGCCCCACCCACCCGATGTCTCTCTGTGAACTACCTAGTACAGGAGGTGGGAAGATCAAAACCACGAAAGTTACGTTTCAAACACCCAGAGACGCTGGTGGGGAAGGGGGAGAGGGCGGCAAGGGGACCTCACGTGTGGTTCTCCCTCTAGGCCTGCACCCCTCCCCCTGGGATGAAATGCTGGGGTCAGGGCCAGGGGCCCGAGTCCACACACACACACACACACACACACACACACCACACCCGAGGCCGGGACACACTTGCTCTTACACATACACACCCAGTACACATGCACACACACACACGCGCACACACACACACGCACACACACACACACACACACACACACACCATGTGCACTCAGATGCACAAGGACACCAACAGCACACACAGTCCACACACGCACGTGAGTGCCCATAGCACTGACACGTTCACCTTAAGGCTGCAGAACGTGGGGCTGGGGGAGGGGGGTGGCCTGGAGCCTCCTCAGAGGCCCCACCCCAGTACGTACCAGAGACACCCTTCCCCGCCCCCTCCTCCACCAAGTTCATGGGGCCCAATACTGTCTCGGTGCGAGATGTGTAACAGCCGAGCTGGCACCCCTCTGCCCAGGCAGAGAGAGGGGCATGCTGGCCCCATCCTCGGAGGGGCCAGGGCCAGGCCCGGGCCAGCAGGAGGTAAGGCTGGCTGGAAGGAAGCCCTGGTAAGGCACGGGGCTTGGGGTGGGCAGACTGGGCCCCAAATGTTCCTCCTACTTCGTCCACAGGGGCAAGAGAGAAGCGTGGGGCACAGGGAGGCAGCGTCCATCCCCTTGGCCGCTCTGGGTTCCCCACCAGGTAACAGACCCCAGCCCGAGGGAGCCCTGGACCCGCTCCTGCGGCTCCCAAAGCCCGCCGGCCTGGACATCACCACTTCGCTGCTGTGCGGCGAGGGGCTGGACTGTCCCCTCGCCCGGCCACTCGGAGCCTGATGACAGGCACGGAGGGCTGCCCACATTCAGGCAGGCCCCCGCCTTCTGCTCCCCACTGGGACTCGATCAAAAACCAAAATCTCCCCAACTGCCCGAAGGCCAGGTGCTGGGGCAGCGGCGAAGTCTCCCCAGTCCTGATCTGGGCGCAGAGTGAGGGCAGACAGGGTCCTGGAGGCAGGGCCACTGGGTCCACTGAGAGGAGTTTGGCAGAGGGCTGAGAACTAGAAACGGGGGCAAGGGGTGAGGGATGGAGATGCAAACAAAAAAGACCAAAAAAACAGAAGACAAAGCCCCTGGCAGCGACGGCAGCCATGCATGTCCGTGGTGGCGGCAGGCAGGCGGCGGCTGCTCACTCGCGGATGCTGGCCGAGTAGGAGAACTGGGGGAAGTGAGTCCGCTGGTCCATGTCAAGAGAGCCCAGGCTGTCATCTGCAGGGTCAGTGGGGGTGGATTGGGAAGACGGGCTTTCAGAGGGCCCAGTACCCCGGCCAGACTCCCGGGGGGGGGGGGGGGTGCAGGGGGAGGGAACCTCAGGAAGGACTACAGGCAGAAACTCCAGCTGCTGAGGTGTCCATGACTTCCTCCCTGACAGACCCTTTGTCATACCCTGGCTCCGAGGTCTCAGAGCTGCTCACTCAGCCACCTCGGCATCCCACCAGCTCCCGGCTCCCCTCCCCTCCCCTCCCCTGCCACACCTCAGTCCACCCCGAGGTCTGCCCAGACTTCCTTTGCCCAGCTCCTTCCCTGGCCACCACAAACCCTCCACATGCAGCCAAAGGTCTTTCTGAAACCCCGATGCAGCCCTGCTCCTCGTTACAAAGCCTTCCACAGCCCCTGTAACCCCCCCCCCCCCCGGGGGCAAGACCCTCCTGCTCGTCCACACCCTCTCCTCTCCCCTCCCCATCTACTCTGACCTCTGTAACGCTCTCATTTCTAGACGCCCCACAGCCATTCCTTCTGCCAGAACTGAGTCTCACTGCCATGTCTCTTCCTCCAGGAAGACCTCCCTGACCCGCAGTCAGGCATTTCCCCCGAGTTTCCCCGGTCCCTGTGGTCCTGACCACTCTGGGCTGTCACCCCACCTGGACTGAGCGCTCCTGAGGGCACAGCTCAGGGCTGTCTCCATCACTGCCTTGTCTCCAACAGAGACACTGGCGGGTCAGCGTAAGAACTCAAACAGCTACAGAGTCAATGAATAATTGGGCTCCAAAGACCTGGGTGGTCTGCGAATACAACTATGGACCTGCCATCTCAGTACCGACGACTCCCCAAGGACCTCCTGCCCAGACCTCTGCCTGGACCGCCGGACGGGCTGGACCGTGGCTGTGGTGAGCTCACTGGCCAGCAGACGGCTAACAGCCAAAGCCCTGCGAGCTTCCTCCGGGAGAACTGGGTCAGAGCAGACGCCCTCCCCCGCCCGGCCAGCCCACAGCGGGGGCTCAGACACTCACAGCGGTCCGGGGGTGTGATTGTGATGGACTGGGCAGTGAACTCATCATCGAAGTACCTGGTGTCGACCTCAGATGTGACCTGAGGTTTGAAGGGTGGTGGGAGCTGTGGAGGAGAGCAGCCCAGGCTCAGGACCCGGAGGCCAGGAGGCTCTGGCCAAGGCCACCGCAGGGGCCACGCTCCTGCTGGAAGCAGTGGTGGTGGCACTCACCTTCTTCTGTACCACATCCTGCCAGTTGATGCTGAGGAAGAACCTGTGCTCCATGACCTCCTTGGCATCGCTGGGCCCCCCGCCGAGCCTAAGCAGAGACGGCCATGAGCACCCGCCTCCCGGGCAGCCAGGTTCTGGGAGACGCTTCCGGTGCAGGCGGGGCCTGAGGCACGCCGGCCGAGAGCCTTCAAAGCCTGTCCCGGCCACACTCCGCCTCGCAGAGGAGGGAAGTGCCGAGGGCAGGGCCAGGACACTGCAACTTGGGCCGAGACCAGAAGGGGGATTGAGAGGGCCTTTGGCTACCTCACATCCCGGCTCTGCCACATATGCCTGGGCCACCATGGCCAGGAAGGGCCGCCCTGCTCCTCAGCATCCCCATAAAACAAGGCGTGCAGGCGAGAACCAGGACGGCCTGACCCCGGGGAGTGCTCCAGTGCCGGCTGTGGGGACCACACAGCACACCCACCAGTGCGGGTGCCCGTGGGCGCTGCCCAGTGGCTGAGGGAGCAGCGGCGGCAGGCGGTGGGGCAGCAGGGCAGTAGCCAGCCCTCACCTCTGCTTGGGGTCCTTCTTAAGCAGCCCCGCCAGCAGGGACTTGGCCTCGGGGCTGAGCGTGCGCGGGAAGCGGATCTCCTCCATGAGGATGAGCTCGAAGAGGCGCTCGTGGTCCTGGTTGTAGAAGGGCAGGCGGCCGCACATCATCTCATACATGACCACGCCCAGCCCCCACCAGTCCACGGCCCGGCCGTAGTCGTTGTCCTCCAGGACCTGAGGGGGAGGGGCAATGAGGGGCCAGGCCCGCACTCCGGGGCCTCGGAGCTGACTGGTCCAGGGGGGACAAGGCCCTGCCTGGGGCTGGGGAGGCCGATCTAAGGAAATGCAGCCGCCCTCAGAGTGTCTAGGTGGGGGAAGCCCGGGGCCCCGCCTCCCTCTGCATCACAGCCCAGACACCTCGGGTGCCAGATATTCGGGGGTCCCGCAGAAGGTTTTCATGGTGGCCCCATCACTGATGCCCTCTTTGCACAGGCCGAAGTCAGTGATCTTGATGTGGCCATCTTTGTCCAGCATGAGGTTTTCCAGCTGTAGGAAAAGTCAGTGCATCAGGAACATGTCTTCCCAGGCTTCCTGCCACCTCCCTGAAACCCCACGGGCCCAGCCCTGCCTGGAGGGGCCGTCACAGCAAGGACCCCAGGCTGAGCTCTGGGACACACTCCAGCACAGGGGAAAGCCCTCACCCTCCGAGGCTCCCAGCTCCCAGCCCCTGGCCACCCCTCAGGGGAGCTCAGTCCTGCCCCAACCTGCATCCCCCCCCTCCCCACTTTGGGTGTGAGGAAAAGTGTCTCCTTTTTCCTAAACTTCACACAATGGGCCGTTTAGTGGGCCTTTGTCCAACCTCCCCCAGGTCAAGAAAGATGCTTCCAGTCCCTCAGACATCCCATGTGCCCCTTCCCTGTTACTAGCCATCCTCTGCTCGGGACAGAGAAGTAATTTTACTTCCTTCTCTCTTTTGCAGTTTCCCCTGCCCTTACCTACACGTCATCACACAGACTCGTCTGGACTGCCCTGGCTTTCCCAGCGCCAGTCTGTGAGACACATCCACGCTGCTGTGTGTGGCTGAGCGTAGGCTCTTTAACTGCTGTGCAGCCCGAGTGCGAACACCCCCCCTGGACTTCACCCATGTTCCGACAGCGAACCCCTGGGGTTAGGATGACTAGTGCTGCGAGGAGTGTCCACACTCTGAGGTGCACACAGTACCTGTTCCTGTGGTGCACACGCCTCGGGCACAATGGCTGGCTCAAGGGTGCGCCCATGCCCACTGCTGGTGGACGCTGCAAACCGCCTGCTAATGTGCCTGCGCCAATTCACACCCTCCACTGCTCCGCAGCCTTTGCTCACAGCAGGCTTGGAAGGGACCCACGCAGGGCTCCTGCTGTGGAACCACGACCAGGGGCCAGAGCAGAAGGCTGAGCCCCAAAGGGAGCTAACACAGGCACCTGGACAAGACAGACGCGCCCCGGTGTGCGGCAGCCCGGCTCTCCACGGGCGGCCGGGCTCACCTTGATGTCGCGGTACACCACATCCCGAGAGTGCAGGTACTCCAGGGCCGAGACGATCTCTGCGCCATAGAAGCGGGCCCGCTCCTCCGTGAAGACGCGCTCCCGGGACAGGTGGAAGAACAGCTGCCGGAGGAGGGAAAGGGGCAGGACGTCAGGCCCCTGGCCCAGAGGAGGGAAGGATGAACCTTGCTGGCGGACCAGTGAAAAGGTCAAATCTACTCCATGAACCGGCAAGGGACAACCAAAAAGGACCAACTGAGAGAAGAGCTCACGTGAAGGACTGGCCGCAGGGAGAGGGGACAGTCCTGGGCCTTCCTGCAGGGAGGGGAGAGTGACAGCACGGAAGCAGAGGACACGAGTCATGAGCAGTGGCCACCGCTGTGAGACCAGAGGCAGATGAAGCCTCTGTGAGAGGAGGAAGGGTCCCGGAGTGGGTGCCAACAAGGGGCTGACTGCTCTGACAGACTCGGGAAAGCAGAGGCCTGCATTCGCTTTCTTTGCAGGTCATCTTCCAAGCACGTCCTCCCCACTGTCCTCCAACCTCCCGCACGGCCCTCTGCTCCCCACGGACCTCGGCGTGTGTCCCACCCACTAGCTCTGAGTCTGAGCAAGCCACTGGCCTCTGAGAGGCCTCCCGCCGCAAGCGAAGATGGCGATGCCTTCCTCAAGGAGCGGAGGACGGACCAGCTGACCCCGGGAAGTCTCCCCCTACCCTCCACCTCACTCCCCCTTGGGCACGAGACACCCAGAAAGCCAGGCGGGCAGCGCGGCTCACCTCCCCACCGTTGGCGTACTCCATCACGAAGCACAGGCGGTCGTGGGTCTGGAAGGCGTACTTCAGCGCCTGCGGGGGAGGAAGTGGCTGGGGCACTGCCGATTCAGCCCGACCACAGGAGTGGGGCAGCGGGGTTCAAGCCTCAGCTTCGCCTTTTTGGGGTATGTGAGCGGGCTCATGGCTCTGAGGGCCGGGGGAGGGTACTAGGCTGAACAACCTGTCCTCTGCCTGCCACTGAGGTTCCAAGAAGCAAGGTCAGGAGAGAGACTATTTTGAGCTAGCAGAGCCACTTCATATCTCTTCCTCCACTTTACAGTCAAATGTATTAAGTGCGCACACGCTCTCTCCCCCTTCCTCCCTCTCCTTTCCTCCCCTTTCTCCCTCTCCTTTCCTCCCCTTCCTCCCTCTCCTTCCTGCCCCCCCCTCACACACACACACACACACACACACACACACACACACACACACGAGGTCTGCTGGCTGGAGCTGGAGCTGGCCCCAAAGCCGCTCGGACAGCGGTCTGCATGAAGAGTAGCCCTCACTCTGCTCTAAGGAGCTCTGAAGAGGCTGCTCAGAACCCTTCGTTGCTCCTCTGCTCACAACTCCACTATTTTCTGTCTTCTGCATGGAAGTACCTCGGAAGATCTTATTTGAACAAGTATTGTGGCTTAACAGAACACCTAGAAAGCAACCGAGGTGCAGAAACAACCCATAAGCCGTTCTCAACCTGGTCCATGTAACTAATAGCTGTAGCCCAAAGAGGCGTCTGCTCAGCGTAAGTGGACAGGCAGCACAATGATACATTTGCTTCTAGCACTGCATTGTAAATAAAAACAAAAAAGAACGTCCCCACTTGGACCAGCTGGGCCAAGTGCCTCGAACTCATAAAGAGGCAGCCGTGCCCCCTGGGCCGTCCTGCAGGGTCCCTGCACCCGTCTGAGCTGCTGACATGACGCCACTGCCTGGGAAGCTGCTGCCACCTGGGGGCCCAGCCGCCTGGCCAACAATCACTAGGCCTGTGCTCCCAGCAGCAGGGCTGGGCTCGCTCCCAGCCTGTCCAAAGGGCTGGCCTGCAGGCTCCCAGGGGCACAGCCTGAGGGAGGAGCACTCACAGTGAGGAACGGGTGCCTGGTGTTCTGGAGGACTCGGCTCTCGGTGACTGTGTGGGCAACTTCATCCTGCAGACAGACAGAGGCCAGGTGAGGGGCTGTGGGTGACAGCACGCATGCCCCCAACCTAAGGGATGGGGCAACACATTGGTGAGACAACTCCACTCCTGGCCATATGCAGAGCGAGGAGGGCAGGAGGGCGCGTCGCCATCCACAGCCCTGAGGAACAGGGGCCACGGCAAGGACGCTCGGTGGCTTGCTTTCAAAACCACAAGGCGAGAAGCTGATGGGGACTTTACAATGAAGGGATCAGGCTGTCACCTCCCGAGCCCACAGAAAATGTTTACATCCCTAAGAGGGAACAAGCAGACATCGTGAGATCCCTGAGGCAGTGTCACAGGCCGAGGGAATCGCCACCTGAAAATGTTCTTGCCAGAAGAACTCGATCTAGAATTAGGACTCCAGGCGGAGGAGTAACGGTTCTGTGTGGTCCCCACAGGGGCAGCATGAGTGTCACCTTGAAACTGGACCCACCAGAAACAGTGGGCCCAGCAGTGGCTGCACAAGCCCTCTTGCTGACTAACAGGCTCCGCAGTCACCAAGAGCTGCTGACAGTCCTCAGCCACCTACAGCCCAGACATGCTCGCCCTCTGGGAAGGTCTGTGCCCAGGGCACAATTGGTAACAATGTCTGAAGACATTTTTAATTGTTACAACTCAGGGGGGAGGGAGCTAGGGCTTTCTGGGTGGAGCCGGGTCACTGCTCCCCACCCGCAGTGCACAGCATGACCCCACAGCAGAGAACGGTCAGCCCAAAGGGGGAGGCTGAGAAACCCTGCCTTGGACAATGACATTGGGATTGTTCATCTTGTTGAACATGGTCACAGAACCACAATTATAGTATTCAAAATCTTCACCTGTGGGAGATACCTCTCTAAGTACTTATGGGTAAATTATACGCTGTCTAAAACGTGCCTTAAAATACTCCAGAAGAAAGAAGGGGGAGGGCAGAGCTAACAAAACAAGATTGACCAAATGTTGATCGTTGTTGATGCTGAATGGGAGTCCATTATACTTATTTTTCTTTTAAAAATTTTGTGTATGTTAGGAATTTTCCACTTAAAGAAAAAAAAAAAAGGGAATAAAATTCCATTCCTGGTCCAGCCTCCTATTGAGACACCCTGAGCCAAGCTCCCACCCTCACGGCCTAAGGGGACACCTCCTTTCAGGCCTTGACAGTGCCTGCGGGATGAGGCCAGTCAGACTCTCCATATCCCTCCCCAGGCGCCCAGAGCGTGGGGTGCGAGCTCAGCAGGCAGGCCAGCCTGGGGATTTACAGGACTGAACCCAGAGATTGGTGGAGAAATGAGATGTTGGCAGCAGAAGGCACAAGTAAGTGTCCTGGCCGTGTGTGTGTGTGTGTGTGTGTGTGTGTGTGTGTGTGTGTGAGTGAGAGAGAGAGAGAGAGAGAGAGAGCCGGGGGAGCACCCACCTTGGCAATGATGACCTCCTTCCGCAGGATCTTCATGGCGTAGTAGCGGCCGGTGGCCTTCTCTCGCACCAGGATGACTTTGCCGAAGGTGCCCTTGCCAAGGAGCTTGAGATAGTCGAAGTCATTCATGGTCTGCCAGGGATGGGGAGAGAGCAGGGCCATCAGTGCAACTTGGCACATGGCCCATGGGAGAAAATTTTCACAAAGGAAAAGGAAAATCAAAGGACACTGTTGCCAAAATGCTCCAGCATGAGCAGGAAGGAGGCTCTGGGCAGCAACTGCTGGTTCTGAAGTGGCCTTCCGACCAGGGTGCTCTCCGAGCACTCCACTCTCCAGACCTGAGGCCCTGGGAGGGCTCTGATGTGGGGTGGGTGGGACTTTCTTGTTGTTGTTATTCCTCATCTGAGGATATGGATATTTTTCCACTGATTTTTTTTTTTAAGAGAGAGAGTGGAAGGGAGGGGGAGACACAAAGAGAGAGAACATCGCTGTGAGAGAGACACATCAATTGGTTACTTTCCACACAAGCCTTAATCAGAGCCAGGGATAGAGCTTGCAACCAGGATATGTGTCCTTGACCAGAATCGAACCCAGACTGAACTTTCAGTCTGAGGGCAGACGCTCTATCCACTAAACCAAACTGGCTAGGGTGAGGGTGGACAAGTCTTACTGACTTCTCAGGAGGAGGTGGGCACAGAGCAGCCCTGGGGCATCTGCACCGTGAGATCACCCATGCTACAGGGCAGCCCTGGCAGGCCGGGACCCCTCACACTTGGCATGGAAACCAGTGCTGACAGGGCCAACCTTGTCGGGGAGGCGTGCTCACAGGCTGGCAGCTCTGCCCCCAAGTACTTACCACCTTGGCCCGGGCCTTGCTAACTGCCACTTCCATCTCCTCGGCTGCAGAAGAGTCGCTAGGGGAGCCACACTTGTATTCCATGGGGTCCTCGCCTGGGCCCCGCTGCTTGAGGCTGTTGGCGACCATCTGGATGGCCCGCATCCACTCTTCCCTGTGTGGGGACAGGTCAGGGGAGCCATGAGTCCTGGGCAGGAAGGCCCGAGTCCCACCATCTCCAAACGCCTTTGCGCATTTTGGCACAATCTGTCTGAGCTGGGGATCTGCAGGACCTCTGAGTGGGACAGAGCAAGAGTGCAATAAGGAAAGAGATCATCTGTCCCAGGAATGGCCACCCGAAGTCAGGCAGCAATTAAATGATCAGAGAGGGACAACCACCTTCTTTCTCAGCCCCCTGAAAATGAGCTGCCACCCTGAGCCTCGAATGAGCGAGAGACAGTGCTAAATTTCTTCGGAACAAATGACAAGCTCAAGTGTACAAGTAACCAATGTTTTGTTAAAGAAAACCAGGAGTAAAAAGAAGCATTCACTAGCCAGAGAAGCTAAAGATCTTAAAAGGCAAGACCCCTGCCTAACTCCCTGGAGGGGGCTGCAGGAGGACTGGTCAGCGACAGAGGTTCCCACCGGGGCAGGAGCATGGAGCAGAAGGAAGCAGTCCCAGCAAAGGCAGCTGGCTTCAGAGCAATTAGCTAGTCTGTTGTTCATGATTTAGGATTCAGTGGGGAAGAGTTTGCTTCAGGTATTTGCAAACTGTTCTGTCCAGAGAGAGAGGAGAACAGGTAAAAATGACCAGAGACCAAGAAGAAGAAAAACAGAGGCTGAATGAAATTGTCCACGCCCACCATTTTTACCCACCCCACAGAAGTTTTTTTCACCCCCAAAATTTTTAAGTGGCAGTATCTGTTGAAACCCCTATGGATTTTGCTTATGTCTATAAAACAGCCACATGAACAGTTGGGAAAATGAAACATTTGCTAGGAATACGAGAATTCAGAGAGCACCAGCAGGCAACCTCCCAAATCACAGCGATGTAAATAAGCTGCCTCCGCCACCACCGCCATCACCATCCCCCCGCCCCCGCTCCTCCCACATACCAGGCAGCATGTGCTACAGTTCTGAGCTCCCGAGGCCTCTGCCCAAGGTCACGCAAGGCCAAGCCCGGGCCACCCTGCTGTGCGGCTCACCTGGGAGTCTGCATTTCCACACACACCAGCTGACCCGACTAACCCCCTGCGCAGTTGAAAATCCACCTAACTTTTTTTAATCCTCACTCAAGAATATGTTTTTACTGATTTTTAGAGAGAAAGAAGAGGGGGAGAGAGAAAAGGAGAAAACTCCCATCAGTTGCCTCTAGTATGTGCCTCAACCAAGGATCGAACTGCAACCTAGATATGTGCCCTGAGGGGAACTGAATCTGCAAACCTTCAGTGGAGAGATGGCCCACGGACCAACTGAGCCTCCTGGAGAAGGCACGTATAACCATTAACTCCCCCAAAACTTAGCTACTAATATGAGCCTATTGTTGACTGGAAGCTTTACCAATAATATTAATTAAAACCTATTCTATGTGCTATCGGGTCTAGTAATAATTAATGTCGTTTTTAAACATTCGTTTAAAATCTTGCTTGGCGTTGACTTGTATTGACATAACCTTCAAACACTTGGTATCTACAGAACGTGTGAAGTGCAATTAACAAGTTTTGCTTGAAAAAGTTTGTGTTTGGTTTGGTTTTTGTTGCAAAACTAGGGCTAAGAAGATGGCGGATGAAGAGCATATTCGGCACTGCATGCTTACGAGTTCCAATTAGGAAGAAAAGCAAGTGAGGCTGCAAAAAACATCTGTAGTGCTCTTGGTCAAGATGCAGTTAGCGCCAGAAAATGCCAGCATTGGTTTGAGAAATTTCGCGAGGGAAATTTTTCGTTAGATGACAAGAGTGGTTGAGGCCGTGTGTCCAATTTTGATTAAGAAGCTCTTCAAGCTCTTTTGGTGCAAAATCCTCAAATTATCCAACAAGAGCTTGCGACAACTTTAAATTGTTCACAAAAAACAATTTCCAATCAATTGCGTGCACTTGGCAAAGTCCAAAAGTTTGGAAAATGGGTTCCTCAAGAGTTGACCGACAACAACCGTAATCAAAGAGTCACAATTTGCAGTTCGCTCTTCTCTCGTCAAAACCGTTTGCCGTTTTTAGAGCAAATTGTTACCGGAGATGAAAAATGGGTGCTGTATGTTAATTTGAAAAGGCGGCCTCAATGGTTGGACAAAAATGAGGCTCCGCAGCCCACGCCAAAACCTGACTTGCATGCGAAAAAAGTGATGTTGTGTGTTTGGTGGAATTTTAAAGGAATTCTTCATTATGAACTTTTACCATCTAACCAAACCATTACAAGTGCAGTGTATAGTGCCCAGTTGGAAAGGTTAGCCCAAGCTTTAAGAGAAAAAGAACCCGCGCTGATTAATCGGAAGGGCGTAATTCTTCACCACGATAACGCACGTCCGCATACTGCAAGAATCACTGCTGAAAAACTGTGCCAGTTGGAATGGGAAGTTCTCCCTCAACCTGCATATTCTCCTGATATTGCCCCTTCCGATTACCATTTGTTTCGTTCTTTGCAAAACTTTCTTCTTGGAAAAAATTTAATAATGAAGAATGCCTCAAAAATGCATTGACCGGACTGAAAGGTCCCAGGTTCGATTCCGGTCAAGGGCATGTACATTGGTTGCGGGCGCATCCCCGGTGGGGGGTGTGCAAGAGGCAGCTAGTCGATGCTTCTCTCTCATCGACGTTTCTAGCTCTCTATCTCTCTCCCTTCCTCCTCTCTGTGAAATATCAATAAAATATATCAAAAAAAAAAAAAAAAAATGCATTGACCGAGTTTTTTGCATCAAAATCACAAGAATTTTACAACAGAGGGATTAAAATGCTTCCTGAGCGTTGGGCACAAGTAGTAGAAAACAACGGCAACTATATTTTTGATTAAATTTTGTTGTATTGTTTAAATAAATTCGATTTTAAAAAGTATTAGAAAACGACATTAATTATTACTAGACCTAATATATGTAGTAATCATTATATTCTTACAATATAGTAAACTAGAGAGAAGAAAATCATAGAGAATCTTGGCAACAGTACTGAGCTCACAGGGCTCTGTAAGGTGGAGAGGGAACATCCTGCAGCTGAAGGAATGAGGCAGATCTATTTGTAGACTTGGAATGACCTAAGATATCTTAAGTGAAAAAAGGGAAGGTGTGGACAGAGCACAGTATCATGCTATTGGAGTTAGAAACAAAACAAAAGGAATTTATGCACACATGCTCACATAAGCGCAAGCACTTCATAAGCACTAACACCTCTGAAAATAATGGTCTTCATACAGAGCCCTGGCTGCCTCTGGGGAGAGTACTCACCCTTTCTCCTGCATTACACATGGGAAGCACACCAAGGCCCAGCACACAATCAGAGGGAGTACACTGAGGCCCGTGCACATCCCTATGAAGCTCACTGAGGCCCGTGCACATCCCGATGGAGCTCACTGAGGCCCGTGCACATCCCGATGGAGCACACCGAGGCCCATGCGCATCCCGATGGAGCACACCGAGGCCCATGCACATCCCTATGGAGCACACCGAGGCCCAGTACACAATCAGAGGGAGGGCACTGAGGCCCGTGCACATCCCGATGGAGCTCCCTGAGGCCCATGCACATCCCTATGGAGCTCACTGAGGCCCATGCACATCCCTATGGAGCACACTGAAGCCCGTGCACATCCCTATGGAGCACACTAAGGTCCATGCACATCCCTATGGAGCACACCGAGGCCCATGCACATCCCGATGGAGCACACCGAGGCCCATGCGCATCCTGATGGAGCACACGGAGGCCCAGGGCACAATGCCTCAGGCAGGCATTTCTCAACTTGTTTCACCCTGGGCCTCTTTGGAACCAATTACAACATAAATTCCCGTGCCTACATTAATATTTTTGTATTTTGAAAAATAATTTACTTTATCAGATAATAACTGTTTTCTTGGAAAATTAACAATGGGTTTTAAAAAAATCACCAATCTCCTAAGAGAGATGTTAATACATATTTTTTAAATGTATATATCTCATACTCAGAGACTGTCACATGAAGAGCAGCAAGTTGCCAACCAAGATGCATAGCTCACGCCTGTCTTTGTTTATAAGGGAGAACACTGACGGCCCTCAACAGCAGCCTGAGCAAACACACCCCTGCTCCGCAGGAGCTCTGGGCTGCCGAGTTGCTGATCAGGAGAATGGGATCCGGGGCCACTCAGGTTGGGCTCAAATGGTAACTGCCACCAGGCAAGCTCATGCCTCCCAGTCCGCCCCTCTGTGCAGTAGGCTGGGGACACTGCGATACTGGTGAGCTGTGTGTGCAAAGCACCACATACACAGAAAGTGCTCAGCTCAAGAAATGTTAACTACCGTATTTTTCGGACCATAAGACGCTCCGGACCATAAGACGCACCAGATTTTAGAGAAGGGAAATGAAGAAAAAAAGATTCTGAAACAAATAGTGTCCTAAAATATTTTATGTGCATTAAAACCCAACATCACAGTCATAAACACATGTAATCAACCCTGTAAAGTAAATAGCAGCATTTAGAACCATTTTAGAGCCGGGCAAGCACACAGAGACCACACAGAGCCGGGCAAGTAAAAAAACTTTTTTTTTTTAAGTATATGTGTAGGCTATATTTGGACCATAAGACGCAGGGACTTTCCCCCCCCACTTCTGGGGGGGAAAAGAGCGTCTTATGGTCCGAAAAATACGGTACCTCCACCTTGACTCAGCTGCCCAGCCCACAGGGATCCTAGGAACCCTCAGGGATAAGGAAGGTTGGACGAGGGTAACTAGGGCTCTCCCAACGCCTGACAAGCTCCCCATCCTGTTCCAAGTGGACTGAGGTTGCAAGGTTGCAGCACTCAGAATTCAGAGAAAAAGCAAGGGCCTTGGTTCAGGATATTCCTCAAGGGTTTGCAACATGGTGTCTGGGGCAGAGGGGAGCTCCCACCCAGAGTTGGAGCTGATGTGCCTTCTACGCCTCCAAAGCTCCCAGGGGAACCAACCTCCTTCCCGCCAAGAGACATGAGAACAGGAATATTAATAGCTCCACAGAAACCACCT